TGCTGTCTACATTCTTTTCAAGATGATATACTTTGTCTTTGTGGTCTGATGTCCTATCTTCTAAGTTGTATACTCTGCTGGTGATGCTCTCATTTGTGTTTTAATATATTTTAATTTTAAATATATAAAATATATATATATATATATATATATATATATATATATATATATATCCTCAATCCTCAATCTCCCTGTAGAGGTCATCTTTTGCTTCTTGGATTTGTTTATGTAGCTCATTGTCAAAGTGATCTTTCATTGTCTGTATTTGTTGTCTAATGTCTTCTTTGAGATTCCAAAACATCTAAATAATGTAAATCCTGAAATCTTTCTCTGTCATTTTTTTCTGCTGTTTCTGGTAATTCTTCTAATGATGCATTGTCTTCAATTGTTTGTGGTATTTTCTTCCCTTGTCTTTTCATGTTGCTGGTATTTCTTTCCTGCTCTGTGGGACTGGTGTGTTATTGTTTTTACCGTATAGATTTGTAGTGCTCTTGTATATTTCAAGATCCCTTCTTTGTGGGGAAGGACAATGTTGACAGTTCCCAATATCAACAATACAACACCTATGTGTAAGTTACTGCTATTAAGACATTTAAAGTTAGTCTCAATGTCTAGTATTATTGGATTCAATTATAATTTAAAATATAATCAGTAGTTTCATAGAAGTTGTACACTTTCTTCTGGTGGTGGACAGAGAACTGGAGGTCAGGTATCTGACGTTATGTTAAGGGTGAAAGATGTGAGGGCAATGGATTAATAAAACTCAGGAAATTTGGAGGAGAACTCTAATCAAGAGGGTTAGTAGCAGTGGAATAGACAGGAGGTAATTTAGGGGAGACAAGTATGTGGGAGGACAGTAAAATGCATAAAAACAAACACATATATGTGTTTAGAAAATTACAAGAAGTAGAAATAGTAAAAATTAGGAGGTTGAAAGAGAAAGAGAGGGAAGAAGAAAAATAAAAAGGAAGCAAAAAAGAGAAAAAAGAGAGAGAGAAATAAAAAGAGGGGTGGCTTATGCAATTCCTTTTTATTATATTATTCTGGTCACTCAGTTCTATTTCATGCAAAGTTCTTGGTTTCACATATGTTGGGGTTGTGAGGACCAGAGGAGGAGGGGTAGAGGAGAAAGAAAGAGGATAAAATGGAAGAGAAGAAAAAAAAAAAAAAAACCAAAACAAACAACAACAAAATGCTCTCAGAGTTCCCTTTTCTTCTCTTCTCTTTCAGTAGGTGGAGTTGTCTATTCCAAGCTTGGTTCTCTGCCCTCAGGGTGGTGTAGGTAACCAGTGTGAGAAGAATAAAGCTCTCCCTCTCTTGTCTGGGCTTCCCTAATCTTGGTCTCTCTGAGTTGCTCCTGGGTTTTAGCCCCCTCCCCTCTCTTGCTTATCAGGTCTCAGCTGGGGGACCTCACACCCTCCACCTTAGGATCTCACCAGGTGGGCAGTGTCCTGGTGGCACTGTGCTCTTGTTCAACTGAGAGCTGATTTTGTGCTGATAGTGTCTATACAGAGTTATCACAGCTGGGGGAGGGGATTTGGAACCCAGGTACCTGTTCAGTCACAGATCCACCTGGTAACCACACCCACCAAAGATGGTGAGAAAGGTGGAGACAGTCCTTTTCCCAGTCGGGGTGTCTGGTGAGGTGGGGGGAGCTGGGATGTCCTCGTGCTGTGCCTAGAATGCGGTCTGGGGACCTGCGTGGGAGCAGAGCGTCCTCTGGAGTTCTGCCACTCCACTGAGGTGCTGAGTTGGTGTCTCTGCTCCCCCCTTGAGAGTTGCGCCTGTGCTCAAACTGTGGGCTTTGGAGTCTCACCTGAACAGAGAGGCTCTGAGTTCTGCTTGGTGTTCACAGCTCTGGTGGATTCTGCGAAAATCCGCTGGATGGAGTCCTGTCACATGCGCTGAGATGTTGTGTTCCCTCAAGGCAAGACCCCGCCCGAGCAGGAGAAGCCACCTGATAGCTTTCTCTGATTCAGGCACAGAGCAGCCAGAAACAGGATCTCCTCTACTCTGCCACCTTGGATCCCAGTCAACCGATTTGACAGAGATGCCAAAGTAATTCCATGGTCTTTCAATAAATGCTGCTGAAATAAAATATATCCATAATGTGAGGGATGAGCCTCAACCCTTATTTCAATCAACTCTAAAATGAACAGGAACCACACACCTAAACATACAACCTAACACTATCCGTCTTTGAATTCAGGGTTATGAAGGGCAGCTGCCTATTTTTATAATTAAAGGATGTTTTGGGAACACAGCCATGTTGATGTATTGTGTATAATTGCTTTTAAGGATCATTAATTATAATGGTAGTAGAGATAAAAGACTGTTCAGGTGTTGATAATTTTTGAAACTGAGGTTGTATACACAGAGTTCAAATACTGTTTGGCCTACTTCATGCATGTTTGAAATTTTCCATAATAAAAACTTGTTTTTGTTTTTGTAGTCTACCTTCAGATCTACTCTGGGCTATCTCAAGATCATCACCATAAGCTCCATCACTCTCCTTCTCATTTCTCTCCAGCAAGGCTCAACCAAGCCTAGAGTCCCCTGAATGTTCTGTGGAAGCCAGCCATTCATTCTAACATGCTAAGCACAAATGTATCATCATGGTGGTACTCAATGAATATTAGAGAAATATATTATAAGTAAAATTATGGAAGGTTCTGTCTGCATACACCCTGAAGTTGAAACTGAACTTACCCTTCCCTAACACTTCTATAAACATGTTAATTAGCTCCTACTCCTTCCTTTTAAAGGAAGACTATGGGGCTAGAGTGTAGTTCAGTGGTAGAGTGCTTGCCTAGCATGCCTGAAGCCCTGGTTCAATATGTAACAGCACAACAAATAAAATAAAAAGGAAGACTGTGACATTTGAAAACTTTCTCAGCAAAACACCCTGAAACTTTCTTCAAGAAAAATAAAACTCTTATCAAGGGAGGCATTATTGCTGAATATCTGCTCTATGAACAAGGTGGCTCATTTCCTTATCACGTAATAGTAAAGACAATTAATAAAACACATACCACTTTCCACAGAAAAGACCAAAATGTGCTCCCAACCTTTATCAATCTCCTGGTTTCTTTACACACATGAATTGTCTTTATGTGTGTGGCTCATCACCATGATGGAAGTGAATTGAAATTAAAAAGAAACAGCAAACTAAATACTCTTCAAAACTTCAAAGCAGAGCTGTTGTCTGTGACTTGTTGTCTCAAATCAAGTGGTTCTGGCTTGATTTGAGACACCTGCACATTCTGGCCACCTACAGAGCTCTCTTTTAGATTCCTCAGTGGCTCTGAGCACATGGCTGCACTGTCAAAGCAGTGAGATCCTGGTAGACATTAGAGATAACCAGAAATTCTGTGCAGAAAGCCTCCCCACTTCTGTGCTTATTAAAGTTACCCTTTACTTTCAAGCTCACACAAAAATATCACTTCATTCCCTCCATTGAAAATAATCATTCCTTTGGCTCTAGTTTTGGTTATTGTATTCTGCCACTCATTAAATGGAAAGGTTCTACAGGGACTCTATCTAGCATAAAGTGAGATCCTGCTAAATTTTCAGAGTGAATGCTGAATAAATTATGATAGAAAGGAATCAAAATCCTTCCAGAATCCCTTCTCAGAATCATCTTTGTTCACTGGTAGTACTAACCCCCTGGGACCAAGAGCAGTTGTAAATGCCCACATTCCTAGGTCAAGGGCTTTTACAGGTGGGAGGTGAAGGCAATGATAATTGAGAGGTTGTTCTATTTTCCGGAGGGTGGAGTGGGCTGGTGTTACCCTACATTCACTGAACAGTGATTCTTCAACTCAGCCAAACTTCAATACCCTGCCAACTTAGGGGGTGAAACTTTTCTACCTGGGCCCATTGGGCTTTCTTCCAATTCAGTCTGAAAGGTTTTATCAAAATCATGAGACCAGAGCTATAGGTATTGTCAACCTAATGAGGCTTAAGTGTCACTGTTCCTCACTTGCACAGTTCTTACAATAAGGTAGCATTTCTAAGTAGGCATTTCTGGCAAACTGCTTAAAGAACACCCTGGGGGCGGGGGAGGATCTAAATTTCAAAGACACACATGTATACATGTATAATGTGCTGTGATTTATTTACTCATCGTAAATACTCACCTTCACATCTAATTTTGAATTCTTTTTTATGAAGAGGGAGACCCCTACACCCAAACTCAATAAGGAGGTGAAGTGAACCCAAAGAGGAAAAAAACAAAACTGATATAGAACAAAAAGCTGCCTGATGTTTAGAAATGGTCTTGGAATATTCACAAAACACCTAACACTCCTCCCTTCCCCCCAAAGATCCAAAGAACTCAGTGGATGTCAAAGATCCAAATGACTCAGTGTGGAACCCTCTCCTTGGTCTCTAAGGCAGGGACAGTAGTGAAAAAGTGAAATAAACCAGCACCTGTCTTACTCAAAGAAAAGGACAGTCCTGGTCCACTTGGTTTCCACAGAAGGGGGGCGACCTTTGGAACACCAGATTTTTATCACCGACAGGGTCTTGGGGCATCCTGGCCACATACTCACAGGGACATACTCTCCTTGTAGCAGCTGGGATCTCCCAGCTTATAAATTCCAATTTACACCCTAACTTTGTGTGCTAAGGTCATGGTTGAAAAATGGTGAATGGAAACAGAAGGGACAGTAATAAGGGAAGGACAGAGAAGAGGTAGGATAGAGATGCAACAGAGGGGGCCCTCAGAAATAAAGGCAAGGAGGGTGTCCCTGCACTTTAGGCCCCCCTCCCCTCCCCAAAGTAGTCATCAACCAAGGCCTAGATGAGGTGAAGTGTGTAAAGAAAAAGTGAAAAGGGAACAGCACTTGTTAGTTTCTTTACCTAGGTACTCATCAGGAAATGTCATTTCAGGAAATGTCACTACACTTACAAAAAGATCCCAGTGGGAAAGACGATTGTGAAGACCCGAAAACCAAGAAGGAAAACTCAAGTTAACCCGTGAGTATCCTGAGTATCACTAGTATCGCTCTGGTCCGCAGCTGCCGCAGCGTCGTCTTCCTGCTCCAGTTGCTCACTGATCACCAAGGACCACAGTATTCTGGTTCCCATAGTGCCCGCTCCTGACGTCTAAGGCTCCTGGGCGCCCATCTCAAGGTTCCATCCTCCTGGGAGATCCCGCCCCGCCCGCAGCCGCCTCCCCTCCGGGACCACCACGTGACCCTGTGGCAGCCCTGACCCTGGATGGCAATTGGTCAGCAGCCATCTCTGCAGTCCCCAGCCCAATGCAGCGCCAGAGCGACCACCTCCATCCCACACTCATCCCAGTGCTTCCTCCAGCGTCCAGGACTCAGACTCCCTCCTAATGCATGGCGCGAGAGGGCCAGAGCTCGCTGCCTCCATCCCCACGCATGGCCCTTGGATGCCCTATCAAGCCACCTCCAAGACCACCCTGGCCACAGAAGCCCGTCCCCGCCATGCACTGCCAAGTCCCTCAGAGACCAGCCACTGGCCAGCGCTTGTGGGGGTGGAACCAGGGCCAGTGGCAGATGAGGGCGGCCTGTGGATCACAGGCTATCAGCTGTGAAGCGCACTGATCCAGTCCCCCAGAGGCAGGTGGATGCCCTAGAGAATAAGCCTGACAGATATTTCTTGGAGCCCCTGCTGCCAGCAGTGCTGAGGCCAGCAAAAAGAAGCAGACCATTACCAAGGAGGATGAGCGAGGGGAAAGGAGACCTTGGAGCATTGTGCCCAGGAGGCCCAGGGAGGGCACTCAACCTGCTGCTCCGAAGAAAACGACCGGCCATCGTGACTTGAATAGCACTTTCACCCAATTCGTCCTCAGAGCTTGCTGCCAGCACTGACCCTGCAGAGTGGGGCTGCAGTCTGCAGAAGCTACAGAAGTCCATGGGGGGCTCTGGCCATTGGCAGATTGGATCCCTTGTCTCAGTGACAGTCTGCCAATGGCTTTTTCCTTCACCTAGTCAGGGCTGATGGTGACACAGAGGGGAGGTTATGGGTTGGCCCAAGAAGCTCTGGCACCCCCTATAAGGAGCCCTGGGCTGCCTGAGGCCAGATTCTGACTCTGATGTGGGAGACATAGAAGAAGTGGAACAGGATTTCATTGGCAAGGACCCTGCCGTCAACCCAAGCAGAACAGACCAGGACTGGGAAACGGCGTTGGCAGCTTCCTCCCTGGCCTAGGTGGCGGAGTACACAGGTCCCAAGCTCTTCAAGGAGCCCAGTAGAAAGTCCAACAAGCCCATCATCCACAAGGCCATCTCCCACTGCCGGGAAGGTGAAGGAGCCTCACAAAAACTCCATATTGGAGGAGCTGGAGAAGTGTGACGCCAATCACAACTTCATCCTATTTTGTGAGACAGGCTGCCAATTCAGGGCGCTGTACTGCTACTACCCGGACACCCAGGAGATCTGCAAGCTCACACGCCCAGGGCCCAGGAGAACCACCAAGAAGATGATCTACAAGCTGTACAAATACAGCTTGGGCCGAAACAGTTCAGCCTGATCCAGCCAAGACCATGTCTGTCAGCGTGGACACCCTCTGCATCCATAACCACTGTGGCAGCCCAAGTGGCCTGCAGTGCCAAAGAAAAACCAGACTCTTAAGTGGCCCCAGTACAGCCCGGGGTCTGAGGATGCCATCGGGATCCGTAGTTACTGTTTCCTTTACTGGGGTACGAAGCTTGCAGAGACACTGACCTTTTTCAGAGGCATTTAGACCACAACACAAGCCCTCTCTCACCTCCTTGCATGCACAGGGCATGCCAAGAGCGCCAGGGAGTGCGTTTGTGCCCTGTTTTCAATGGCAGCTGCTGTGGTCACTGCTGATCCCCGCAGCCCTCAAATCGGGACATCGTGCAGCGAGGTCTCCAGCGCCTGTATCCTTTGCTTGACCCTCCAAAGGCTGCCTGCTGCCCTCCCGTTGGCCAGCGGCAGGTGTGCTCTGCAGTCAGGTGTGTGAATGTCTTCCTGAGGGGAGCTCATGTGGAGTCTTTTTATTTGAGAAGTTGTCTATTTATTGATTGTGTCTACTGCCAACCTCTACATCCAGTTCTGAGATGTCTGAACAAGTCCTTGTTCCTTGCTGCTCAGAGAAGTTTACTGAGATTTCCAGTCCACTAAAGGCACTGAAAGCAGTAGTCGGTCTCTGCGTCATCCCTTTACAGGCATGGAGATGGTGACTTCAACAGGCAGCTGTGAGGATGGCAAGGGTACTACTGGCTGCTGATGGCCTGCTGTGAGGTGGCAGCTGGGCCAGCAGTGGCTGTGCAGGTAAAGCAGGGTAGGGGCTGGTGGTCTGTTCACTTATTAAAAGTAGATTTTGGTAAAAACAAACAAACACAAATTTAAATTGAAACCAGCCCACTACTCTGCCCAAAGTAGAGGGCAGCATTTTCCACGCAGGTCTATCTTACTCTCTCCATCTGCACTCTCAAAATTCATCTCAGAATGAGAGAAAATGACTATGGAATGGTTATATAAACTAATCCCCCCCCCCCCCAAGAGCTCCTGGCCTGCACTACTCACTGGAGCAAGCAATGCCATTTATCTCAGGACAGGAACTGTCAGAAAAAAAAAAAAAAAAGAGAGAGAGAAACACAGGTAGTGTATCTGGGATCAACAAGCCAGGGCACAGAAAAATGACCTTATAGGGAGAAACTCAAAAGACCCAGGAGAGTGTGAGAAGTGGACAGAAAATGGGGGTGTACATAGGGAGAGATTTGAAATGATGGAAGGCAGTAACAGGTGAAGGCAAAAATAAACAAAAGGAGGAAGAGACTCCCCACTTAGAAAAAAGGAGGCCAGCATGATAAACCAATAAGTTTGGGTGGTGAGACAGGAAAAACCACTCACTGACAGAGAACAGGACACTTCTTAAATAATAGAAACATTACAGGAAAAACAGTGTTGAGGAAATAAAACAAATTTTGTCCCTTGGGTACTACTTAGAAAAGATAGAAACGAGGTTCTTTGGTTACTATGTGAGTTCCGTGCTGAATTTTTCAGACTCACAACTTATCCCTTCACACTCCAAACACAATAATACCAAGGTTGAGCCACAAAAACTCAGAAAACCTCCAAACCAAACATCCTTTTAACTACTGGAAAATAAAGGCACCAAACACTCTCTATATGGAAACACATGATGCCTGAATTGAAGCAAACTAATAAGAAGAAAAGAATTATCAGAGGCTGGAGTGGAGCAGCCACTGTTAAATAATAAATAAGGTTTTTGGAAGGAAATGTGGAGAAGTTCCTTAACCCCAAACACCCTCTGAAGTCTATTTTAAAATGCATTAATTACTTATGCATTTATCCACCATTCCCTTTAATAAAGATGATGGTGTTCCTGATTAAAATGGAACTGGCTATGTCATTAACAATATCATGAACAAGTTCCTGATGAAGAGAAATGGTGGGTGGAATGGGGAGCAATGGTATTTGGGAGAGAAAAGCAAATAGAGACAGAGGTATGGAAAGGAGAGGAAATTACAAAAGGAGAAGAAAGAGAAGAGAATAAAGTAGACCAAATGAGACAGGGGAAGATACAGGGAAAAGTGGAGTCAGGGAAAGAGAAAATAAAATGGAGATAGAGATAAGGAAGATAGACAACAGGTGATAAAGAAAGACACCATTCACTGATAGAAAAAGAAGGAGAAACACTTCTCATATGCAAAAAGTTCTGGTGGAAATGAGGCCAATTCGTCCTTAAATCACCTGGAAATGATAAATAGAATCTGATCCACAATTGTTTTTCAGATTTTATTTTTAAAAATTTACCCATAAGGCTTAAACATACCTGTTCCCAAATCAATAGCACTAATAGTACTGAAGACACCCCAAACAAACATTCCTTCAAAAACCACTAGAGGAATGATGCACCATATACACCTCATGAAACCACTGATGACTCAAAACTGAAGGATACCAACAGAAGGGATAAGGATTCTGAAAGTCAATCACCAGGTATAGGGCAACTCTCAACGGTTCAAGGAATCAAAGTTTGCCACCCTATCTGCTCGAGGATATTCTCAACACCCTCCACAACAGGGGTGCCTTTAAAGCATCCTCAAACAGCCAAGTATTACATGTCAAATCTGATACAGAGAAGGTTTTTGAAGAATTAATATTCACTGGTTAAATTATAAGTGGGGCTGTCTTTCAATCTGAATCCTCCTCCTAAATCCTTTAATATATTATCTGTCATCCTGCATCTAGAAAATGATGTCACTTGCAAAGACAAACAAAAATGGTAGTTCACTTTTAAATTTTTTTATTTTTATTTTTTTGGTACTAGGAATTGGACCAAGAGATGGTGTACCACTGAGTCATCCTCAGACCTTTTGGTTTTCTATTTTGAGACAGGATCTCACTAAGTTGGTCAGGGCCTCACTGAGTTGCTGAGGCTGGCCTTGAATTTAGGCTCCTCCCCACTCGTTTGGGATTACAGGTGTGCAGCACAGCTTCCAGCTCTCTTTTAAATTAAAAGCATTATTTTATTAATCTCCCCTGACTTGTGTTGCGTTTAAAGTAATTTTATAGCACACAAATCAATTTTGAGCATGAAAACTGCATTACTAAAATAATACTTTTCTGCAAGGCCAAAATGCTTGGTTTATAATAAAAGTATAAAGTGCCTCTCCAAAAGAAAAAACCATCATTATTTCTATTGTGTAAGTCCAACATCTTAAGTTGTTCAACAGGTCTTAGAAAAACACTTCTGGAAAAAGAAGTTTCCAATAATGGAAAAGAATTTTCCATCATGGAAAAGAAATTACTTGCGTTTTTACTATTTTATTTTATTATTGTCTCTAATATTTTTCCTTCTCAAATGGAAATTCACATTCTCTATATGTTGCTTTTGAGTCAGCCATTCTGTGCAGGCTTAAATTAAATATTTCTAAAATCGTGTTCAGGTGTTCTCTTCGAAGTATCTGTGGTTCCAGACCTAATGATCTTTTAATCTGCAGTGGTGGCATCAACCATATTGTTAATTTTGTAGTACAAGTAACCTACTTTTCACAGCAGAACATAGGTGTGCTATGAAAACATTTGACAAGATCTTGAGACCTGGGTTTTTGTTTGTGTTT